ATCGTTTTTATACAAATAATAAATAATAATACTCTTACTTTTTTACTATTTATAGCTTCTAAAAATGTCTTAGTGTCTTTTACTCCAAATGGACATTTAATTTCAACTATAAAATCATTATTGACAAGACCATCTACAAATTATAATACAACTAATTTAGTAGTATTGATTTAATTAATATCTATAATTATTAATTATACTATAATATATTTTACCAGGAGAAGCTGCTAAATAAGGAAAATGTTCATCAATAATAAGTCCACATTTATTCACTTTGCAATTAATTGTTTTTTCCAATGCGACAATAGCTTGTGGTTCCGTGGCTTTTCCATAATCTGTTGCTTTCGAAGAAAATGTCCTATATAGCAAACTATATACAGTATTTTTGCACGACGTAGTTTTCCGAAGCTTACAAACGCCACCAAAATTTGACGCTGTGAGTCGATTTCTACGTTCAACGTGCCAAATTTGTGAGTTAGCCTGTTCCCTTGTTTGTTCTTCAATGGCTAACCGTTCACGTCTGTCCAACTGTAATGCATTTATAAAATCTTCTTTTGTTTTTTCTAATACTTCTTTTGGAATATTATCTTCTGGTAATGGTTCAGCTAAACCATAATGTTGATCCGGGCCATTATTACGCTTTTTTTCTGAATTTCCAGAGAAAAGAAGTTTTTTAGATTTGGGCTGGGATCTTTTTTTTTCACTCGATCTAAGGAATTTTTTTCCGATTTCTCCTATTAAAAAAACAATGTACATTTGGTGTATATATTTCGTATAAATAAAATTATAACAATATATTATACCTATACCCAATAATTTTATTAGTATAATTAATAATATCATCATCATTATATTAGGTAGGTATAGGTACATCAAATTGTTTAGAATATTATTAAATGTATATAATATATTCACCTGAACTTATGTCTTCCATTATATTTTTATGCATCAACCGAAGAAATTGTCCACCTGAGTTGCATGATATAACCGCTGCTTCAACTCGAGAATTATAAGAATTTCTTTGTGAAAAATTTATTCGTTTACCCGCTAAATGTTTATTAATTATACTGTTGAATTGTTCACACACGTTATTGTCAACATTCATCAGTAAACTATCAACATTTGCAACTAAACGAGATACTATTTGGGATATATCGTTCAAAATCCCTGAATTCTCGGCGTCTTTGATCAAATTTCCTTCATTGACTGGTCGCGGTCTAATACAATAGTATTCCTCACATTGATCATGGGCACCCATAATGTGTCGAAAACTGTTATTTATATCTCGCCGTAGTCCTTAAATAATAAATGCATATAATTTTAAAATACCATAATCGTGTTAATTTATAATGTTATCAAAAATATAATTTTAATAATCAACTTACCAACTGATTTTTGGTAATCTGTTAGTCCCTGTAAACCACTGCGGTATTCAATTGCCTTAGTTATTGCAACCCTAAAGCGTATCATATTTGATTTTAAGTGATTTCTTAACCCAATCGGGTACTTAGGATTTAACGTCAAAGCTTTTAATTTTGTTCCATAATTTCGCAATAAATGGTTCCGACATTCTATTTTTATTACTGGTAGCCTAGGGCCATAAGGCATTATGTCATTTAGTCTTTTTGTAACGCTTGAGTCTCCGTCTCCTAGATTTTTTTTTTTTTTTAATAATACATATTTATTAAAAACTAACTACATTTATTGAAATTATATATAGGTACCTACTACCTATAATTAAAAAACTGTGCACTATTGAAAATACTTAGGTAATTTACTTACCTATTAGTTTATTGTATTTTAGACCATGCATTTCTAAACTCTGTTTAAAACCATCACCAACAGCATCGGCTTCCATACTTGTAGCACCCTTTTTCCAATTTAAAAAACATGTATGTTCAGGTGGATTTTATTTTTTATTTTTTGCCCTCTGGCAAATTACACAAAACCTATTTCTAATCCCCACAAACAAAATTTTCCTCGACCTGTAACCAATTATTGTTGCCTGAAATTATAAATACAACGTTAAAATGTATACAATTGGTATGTGTACGTTTTTTAGAAACTTACCACTCCAGACAATGCATCATATTTAGTTTTGTAACTGCGCTTAGACCATTGTTCGTCAGCGACAACCGTGCACATAGGAATTCCGTCAATATCTACTGATCCTGCTTCTATTGCTAAACGACGTTCTTCTTCGCCGGCAATTTTCATTTGTGCTTCTGCGACATCGTGAATTTTTTTGCTGATAAATTTTTGAACTAGTATATAAGTACAGGACGCCATACATGGAATATCCATTGTCGCACACAATTCAGACAATTGCGTAAATCCAATTCCAGCTGATATCGATCCACTAACGGCAGCTTCGTTAATCGGTAAATAATTTTCCGGTTTCGATTTTTCCGAGTCAATAAACATTATAATATTACAAACACCACATTTAAACTTAAAAGTTGATCTTAATCCATGTTTTTTTTCAGAAATGAACGTCATGTTTAAAAATGAACAACCAAATGGCCCTTTGTGATCACTATTTTTAATTTGATGAAAAACGTAATTGATATCTACTATTCGTCTACCGGAGCTTTCATACTCAATATATTGATTACTATATGTAGATTGTTCAGTTACCAATTCATGTAAGGTTTCTTCAACTCCCCAATCATTAATTCCATTGTCTCTCGAGTTGGTTATTTTACTACAACACAGTTGAAAAAGCTATATGTTACTATATATTATAATTTATAATATTATGCCTACATTATTTAAAAACTAATAAACTTTTGTTTCATATAATCCACTTAAATAATAAGCTATATAAAGTTTACCTGATCGTTTCCTTTGACGAACATGGTGGTTGATTATCAGCTCCTAAGAAAAATGGTTCCACAGCAGATTTGATTGATTCGGGGTTGTGCCTTTAATTAAAACGAAAACGAATTATATAAAAATACGATATGATATATGTGTTTTTAAATACTAGTTTTAGTTGTAAATTATTATAAAATAGTCCATCATTCAAAGACTCGGATTTTTTTTGACAACTATTTTTCATATTTAACCTACTTAAATTGTAAATAATACTTAGGATATTTAAATAAAGTTTACCTGATCGTTTCCTTTGACGAACACGGTGGTTGATTATCAACTCCTAAGAAAAATGGTTCCTGCACAATACGTTCGATTACTTCGGGGTTGTGCCTTGAATTAAAATAAAATAAATAAATTATGTTAAATTATGTAATTATTTAATTTGTAATAAAATTATTTATGCTTCATTCAAATTTTACATACTTGTTTTTGTTCCGAATTCCCAAGAGCTCCTTCATTCGAGAACTCAGATTTTTTTTTTTTGATGGCTTCCTTGAATTATATAGTTTTTTATTTTTTGATGGATCCATTTTACGGTAAAAATACGAAAAGTACGTAATAAAACAAACGTTTAGTGAGAAATTTTGAATTTAAATTATGACGAAATGATAATAATATAACAGTGACTTATATAATATGTCTAGCTTACGCGCACATCGTTACTGTTATACTAAGCATATAACTACAGAAATGTTTGTCACAAAAAGACAAACATCCTTATATACTGTTACTGTATACATACTTATCATATAATAGTCTAAATCAATTAGAGTAGTGAATGTGATATATTCATTGTATTGAAACACCCTATAATATCATGTAGTGTATAAGTAAATTCAGACCGTAGTTCAGCCTTCAGAAGATGCTGATTATACATTTTTATAATACTATATATACCATATGGTACCAATATATTTCTGGTGACTGTCCGCCGTGTCCGGCTGTACCCGGTATACACAGTTTTAGTCGTTGATTTATATTACGCCTGATAACACTAATGTACGATCGTATCGTTATATGCTTATTATTATATTATATTACATATCCGACAATACTGTTGTATAATAATACTCTTAAATCTTAATTATCATCTCAATAATTATTTAATTATATATAACATAAGTATCACTGCAGCAGTTCATAGTTCATAGTGTCGTTAGTGTCAAGCCCGGATTAAGGATCAATTGGGCCCCGGGACTCCATACACTTAGTAGGCCCCCTTTCAAGTTTAACTTCAAAATAATTGTATCACTAGGTATATATATTAATGACTGTATATTGTTATTGTATAGTTTTGTACTATACAAAATATATATATATAAAAATATAAGACTGATAAATATATTATATTTTATTAATTATTATATATAATATATTACATTATTACATATATATATATATTTAAAACATACTTTTATAGGTTACTAGAGATTTATAACTTTAATTTTTTTCTTGCTTTCTCTTTTGCAAATTGTTGTAATGTTTCATTAAAATCTATTAATTGCAAAATATCATTTTCTGAATGTAATATCATTAAAGATGTTAAATTGTCTTGAGTCTGGCTTGTTCTATATTTATTTTTTATTCTTGTTAGTTTGGAAAATGCTCTTTCGGCCGAACAATTGGCCACTGGGATAGTTAAATATAATCTAAGAGCAATTAAAATGTTTGGGAATACATCCTGCAATGATTTATCATAAAACCATTTTAATAACTTAAAAGTATCACTTTCATTAAATGATACATTACTTAAACTTAAAAAATTTTGAAATTGAATAATTTCATTTTCAAGTGAAGCGTCAACATCATTTTTATATGTGAAAATACAATTCTTTATGCTCTCTTGGACTGCACTATCTGAATCTGGTGGACAATTTAATTTAGTAATAAATAAAAAATGGGTAGAAATATAATTATATGCAGCAATTCTATTTTCAAGTTCTAAAACAAATTTATCTATAATAACATAATGAGTTTCAATTCTCATTTTGTCTTTTCCTTTATATATAATTTCTTTTTTACTACCACTATTATCGTCAGGATACTTTTTTTTTCTTATCCTTTCAGTTTCATTCTTGTAAGTCTTGCCAACATATTGACTTAGGTATATGATTTAATTTTCATAAATCTCACTAGAGTCTCTTAAACTTGACACATAATGCCTTAATGATTTTAGCAAGTTGACGGCTTTTAATGCATCACAGTGTTTGTTTTGCAATTCAATTGAAGTTTTATTGCTTCTCTCCAATATATCACTCCATAATAATGTAAGATAAGCAATCTCTCTTTTTAACATTTTTTTCCATAATATTGTAGCTTCTCTTTTTGTTTCACCATTTTCATTGACATTTTCACACAGTTTTTGTAGAGCTTCAAGGATTTTTTCATAATTACCAATTAATGCTTTACAAGCTTCAGAATGACACGACCACCTAGTACCACTCAACGATTTAAGTGTAATTAACCGGTGTTTATCATTTATATCCAAATTATCTGTAAGTATTTTCCATCTATGCGTAGAACTGCTGAAAAAATTATATAATGTTTGTAAAAAGCCAAAAAAGTTCACTGCCTCGACACAACAATCGACACTGTGAACACCAACTAAATTCAATGAATGTGCTGTGCATGGTATATATACAGCAAGATCATTTTTACATTTGACATGTGCCTGCAATCCTTTAAACTTGCCACTCATATTGGACGCATTATCATAAGATTGTCCTCTACAATCTTCAATATTCAATCCAACATTTAAAAGAAATTTTTCTAAAACATCATAAATTGATTGACCTGTATGACTTTCAATAGGTTCCAATTTCAGTAATCTTTCTTGTACATCTGACTTTGTACAATATCTAATAACAATAGCCATTTGATCCACTTTTGATAAATCTGGAGTAGAATCCATTATAATAGAATAGTATTTAGATATTTTTATCTCATTAGTAATATAGCAAATAACATCAGTTTTTAGTAAAAGTATAATTTCATTGAAAATAGTTTTTGAAATATATGATGGGTGCCCTTTTCCTTTATTTCCAAACTTTTCCAAATGATTTTTCAAAAATGGATCATATTCTGAAATCAATTCCAATATGCCAAGATAATTGCCATTATTATTGTTTCCAATTATTTCAGAATCCCCTCGATACGGTAAACCTCTAGCAGCTATAAATTTAACAACAGATACCATTCTTTTTAAAACATTAACCCAGTATTCAGTTTCAACTGATATTTGTCGACACAATTCTGTATTAACTGATCTAGTTGTATCTGTCCGTATCAACCATTTTGTTGTAGCTTCTCGATGTGCAATACTATTTTCATGTTCACTAATTCTATAACTTTTTTTCCATTTATCAAAACCAATGTTTACAAAAGGATTATCTCGAAGTGAACCAAATAATTTACATACAAAACAAAATACGGAACCTTTACTTGGAGAATATAGCAACCATTTTCTATTACATTTCTCTCCATTGGATAACTTTCTATAGAAAACTGCAGAAGAAATATATCTTGTGTGATCAGTTCCTATAATATATAAATAAAAACAAAAATGTTATTACCTAAATGTTAATGATTTAAGATGCTTGATTTCTGAAATATTAATTAATAATAAATACAATTCAAGCTATTAAATTGAAAAACTACTTAAACAAATAAAAATATTATAATAATAGAGAACCCAATATAGGTATAGTATGTTATACAATTTTTAATATTTATGCAGGTATTACTATTATTTAACCATTATTGAATATAACAGTGGTACTTAAATTTTAATTCATAAAAAATAGAAATATCATTGCATAACAATTTGTACTATGAAGTATTTATAAATTAAAAACCTATACTAAAACCTATTACCTATAGGTAAATTGTATTACTATTTTTTTTATTATTATTCAATATTTGATTAATTAATTTAACAATATGATAAATATTTGGTTATTACTTATTACCTATTGTATATTAGGTTGTAAGTATAATATATTACTATATTGGTATCTACCTGATATAATACGTGCTGATTGCCTAAAATTTCTATCCATATTTTGGAAAAAAGCCGGTCCTTTATCGAGACAGAAACTTATAAATTTACTATTCAAATTTTTTGGCCACTTAAATGGATCTTTGTAATATTCCTCATGATCAGCAATGTTATCTGTCAACAAATCAGACTTTTCAATTGCTGTACAGCTACTTGAACTTGGTACCAGATAAGGTAAAACTAATGTCTGATCATCAGTTTTTAAAACTAAGTCAAGAGTATCACTTGGAACAATTGAAGTAACAGGTTCTAGAAATATTCAAACACGCATGTTGTAGAAACTAATAAGTTAATTTACTACCTAATACTTTGTATGAGAATGTTAATGTTTTAATAATATTTCATATTTACCAATTTCTGTACAAGTACTTGAACTAGGCAACAGATGAGGTAAAACTAATGTCTGATCATCAGTTTTTAAAACTAAGTCAAGAGTATCACTTGGAACAATTGAAGTAACAGGTTCTAGAAATATTCAAACACATAAATGGATATCTATTTTACCAATGCTGATAGATAATTACAACAATACAAAACATAGAACGATTGGAATGACACCGTTGCAGGCAGAAGAAAATCCTTCACTAGTGACTATGAAACAACGTTTAATCACTAATAAAAAAGTAAAATTTCGCGTTGGCGATAAAGTTCGAATAAGCACTCACAAAGGAGTTTTTTCAAAAGGATTTTTACCCAATTGGTCAACAGAAATATTCACAATAGTAAAAATAAACAAAACAATACCGCCAACTTATCAGTTACATGATTATAATGATTATCCAATAGCTGGTTGTTTTTATAACGAAGAGATATCTAAAACAAATTATCCTAATGATTATTTAATTGAAAAAATTGTACGAAAGAAGGGGAATCAGATATATGTCAAGTGGGTGGGATTTGACGATTCTCATAATTCATGGGTGAATAAGAATGATATTAAAAAATAGTTCCAGTGGTAGTTCAGAAGTGAATCTGTTCGGTACATAAAATTATTAATTCATCTGCAATCATGTCATCAGCTATCTTGGACGTTCAGTGCGTTGTCGGAGTCAATAACAAGTGGTTTATTAAAGAAATGTCTATAGTAGACACTGAGACATTGTACAATCAACACTGGATATTTAAAAATACAACTTTAAAACAAGATGCGAAAAGTCGAAGTGTAAACAGTTGGCTGCAACGGCTGCATCACGGTTTGTCTCCAGATTATGGTGATTTGAAGTATGAAGAAATACATAAAATATTCGAATCGATCAAATTCGAAAGAATTTACGTTAAAGGTTTGCAGAAACAACGGATCATTATCGAGTTTATGCCACACGCCACCGTCTACGACATGGAACTCTTCGAGTGTCCTCGGATTTGTTCATTAATTGGACAATCACTACCATGCTGTATTTTTCATAAAGATTTCAATCCACTAGTATGTACATTGAATAAAGCATTTGCATTAAAAAATTGGTATGTTAATAATATAAGATAATAAAATTTTTTTTTTTTTCCTACTATGTATAAATTATATTTTACAGTTTACATATAGTTTAAATTATATTTTTACATTATATACAGTTTACATTGTAATATACAGTTTAAATATAGTTTAAATTATTTTTTTTTTTTACATTATATTCAGTTTACATATAATTTAAATTATTTTTTTACATTATATGAAGTTTACATTATAATATACAGTTTTTTTTTTTTATAATTGATATAATATATATTATATACTGTTTTAATGACGCACAAATAATAATAAATCAATTATAATGAAGACTTCATGATTGTGTGTTAGTTAAATTCTCCTCTTCTTGACTGCAACATAGATATAATTAGATTATTATTATATAAAGAATGATAATATCTATTTATCTCAACTCACTCTAAACTGTAATGTCCATGAGCCAAGGTATTAATTTGGTTTTCAAGGACTATCCTCTTATCGTCCGATCGGTTTAAAGCTAATTTAACTGTTGAAATTGATTTCATCTGATGTTTAAAAGATCTTAGTGATATGTTTACTCGAAACGGTGTATACTGTTTTGTTGAAGGCGTGTGACCTGTAGATTTAAACAACTCGAATTGTTTTATAGCTATGCCTCTACCAGTATCACTATCAACCGTTGTGCCGTTGAAAAATAAACATTGTTTATGATCTGCTAAACTCATATGATTTTTAACGACATGACCTCTGACACCTTTCGCTTTGATTTTTTCTACACCCGATAGATTATATGCATATGATTTAGATCGTAGTGCAACAAACTCTGTAATAGCTTTTCCATCCGCTTCGTCAGTAAAAGTCCCAGGTAATTTCTTCCTGTCGATACAATAGCATGGATGATTGATCGGTAAGTTTGAAGTATCCATACGATTTAAAAGATCAGGGTTATTCAACAAATCAGCGTAGAAATCAGATGTCTTTATATAATATATCAATGAATCTGAAAAAAAAAAAATTTATTTATTAGTAAATAAACATTTATGCAATATATGTATATAATATGTACCTGTATTCGTATACATCAGTTGAATATTTGAACTATAACTTTTAACCATAGAGTTATAATGAAAATCATAAATTAATGTCTTTGATATATCCAAAATCGCCATCCCTACGTATATTGGTTTATCAAATTTCAATTCATCTATATCCAAATGTATTACCGCTAGGTTTTCGTTATAAATTGTAATGTCCTTAAACGTATTTCGGTTAATTAACTTAGAACACGTTTTTTCATCCGAAACGAGTTTCATTTTTTTAATCTATTTCTTACATTTTCCATAGTCTTCCCTGTAAAGTTAAGACACATTTAAAAAATAAAAAAAATAAAAAAATAAAAAAATAAAAAAAATAAAAAAAAATAAATAAAAAAAAAAAAAAAATACCAAATACTGCATTGTTCATTAATTTAAAAAAGTCTCTCTCAAAATCATTTAATGCGTTCATTCTCATTTTAGTATTCAACTCAATATATTTTTGAAGCCATGGTGATTGATTAAATTTTAAAACTCGATGCACCTAAACAAAAAAAATTAATTCAAACAATTTTTAATAATAAATAACTATAAACAATTATTACCTTTTCCAGTATTAATCCCGCTTTCAGAGCTTGTTTCAATGCCATATAATGAACAACATATTTTTTTTTATGTTGTAAATTGGCAATGAGTTTTTTTATTTTTGATCCAGGGGGGACCATCCTCTCTGGAAGATACGGTAACTCGTTATGCTCGTCATGCAACGATTGAGGATATAATATGTCAACTTCTAACGAGAATCCAATGTTTGATTTTTCGTTTGAACTTTCCAACAATTTTAAAATATTTTCAACATCTAGATTGCCCTCATACCATGAAAATCCGTCCTTTGGCATATATTTACACATAGCCCAACCGTAGCTAAAAAAAAAAAAATAAAACAATGTTATAACAATGTTTTATGTAAAAAAAATAAAAAAGTACAAACAGATTTGTTGCGTCCAGGTATGCAATCCACGAATCTGGCTTTGTGGAGTCATAATCGGGAACCTTGTTGTTGTTCGCCTGAGCATATCGCATACTTGCTTGTGTAAGACCCCCTCGAATTGCGGCTTCGGTCATTAATAATTGATCATAATCCGACAAAAGTTCTAACTGTACTTCAGTTATCTTCAAACAGCAGTCAAACGACATCCCAGGTGCAGTATAATAGTAATTAGGATCCAAACCATACGTATCCAAACATAAGTCTCGAAAGTTTTCGAAAACATCGCAGAGAAGCATCACATCAACTTTGATATACAAGTCACTGTATTCACCAAGGGTTTTTAAATTAAAGTGTTCCCATACCCGTATTGCATGTTCATAATCTGCATCGTCAATATGCGATTCGTGTAATGTACTGTAAAAGTGTTCTTTTGATGGTAGTGCCGTTTCACTTAATTTCTCCCAACTATCCGTATACTCATAACAATATACACCTTTCCTGGTTACCAGTTCAATATCATTATTATTAAACACTCTTCTGGTATCTCTAAATTTTAATGTATCTCCTTTAGCTAAATTATTTACCAGTTTCTCCAAACTAGTTGACATAAAACGAAAAGTGTCAACAAAACGAATTTGAAAAGTATTTGATATGTATTTTGTAAAGGATATTAATTTCTCTTCGGTATTTGGTATAACGG